TTATATATTTTTAAAAAATATTTTATTTATTATTTTTATTTTATGTGTATGAGTGTATTCCTTGTATGTATGTGAGTGCACCCGTGTTGTGCAATGCTGCGGAGGTCAGAAGAGGGCTTCAGATTCCCCTGGAACTGGAGTTAAGGGTGCTCTGTAGCCACTATGTGGGTGCTGGGAATCAAACCCGGGTCTTCTGCAAGAGGAGTCAGTGCTCTTAACCACTGTTATATTATTTTTAAAAATATATTTATTATTTATATGTGTATGAGAGTTTTGTCAGCATGCATGTTGCGTAGCACATGTGTGCAGTACCCAAAGAGGCCAGAAGAGGGCATGAGATCCCCTGGAACTGGAGTTAAGGACAGGTGTTAGCTGTCATGCAGATGCTGAGAACCAAACCCAGGTCCTCTGCAAGAGCAGCCAGTGATCTTAACCACTGAGTCATCTCTGCAGCCCTTGTTTTATTGTTTAACAGCTGTTAATGCCACCCTCCTTCCCCTCACTGGATTGCAAACTCCCCTATGTCATGGACAGGCCTTTGCTGGTTTAGTTTGCTAGGCTCTACATTATAGGCAATCTTCCCTCTTGCATATCTGTCCAGTAGCCTAGTGTGCTTTATGTTCTCCAAGGTACATCCAAGCCTCCCCTCCCCGCAGTTAGCTACTTCCTCTGCACACAGAGCATTTTCCCCTAGTGTGTTGTATACTGTGTGTGGGTGCATACGTGTGCATGTGGAGACTTAAGGTTGATGTTGGGAGTCATCTGTGGTCACTCTTCCATTTTATTCAATGAGGTAGGTCTGTCAATCAAATCCAGAGCTCAACCATATGGCTCATCTCGCTGGCCAGCTTGTTCTGCTGCCCCTCTCCATGGAACTGTGGTGGCTTTCCAGGCTTCTTGTGTGTTTATCTGGGTTCTGGAAAGCCAAGCTCTGATCTTCATACTTGCAAGGCAAGCGTGTTAGCCACTGAGCCATCTCCCCCAGCCCTGTCAGTGTTCACTGTTTAGACATCTTAAGTGACTGCAATTTCATGGTGAATATTAATTTAAGGAATATTTTGTTACTGTAAAAATATACTGTAGGGGGCTGGAGAGATGGCTCAGAGTTGTGAAGAGGGTTCACTGCTCTTGCAGAGGACCTGAGTTCAATTTCTGGCACCTACTCTTCATGGCTCACAACTGCCTACAACTCCAGATCCAGGGGATCCATCCAACACCCTCTTCTGGGACTCCGAGGGTGTCTGCACTCACATGCATATACCCCCATACACACATAACTTAAAAACATTACATTTAAGAATATATTTTAGAATGGCTTTCCAATGTCTGCCACATGCTTATTTTTCTCAGATAAAAGGAGGCCCAATACTTGAAACTTATGAACTATACTTTGAAATTATAGAAGGGCAAGAAAAAAAAAGAATACCTCTTTAAAAGCAGCCATTTGCTTCTGGATTCGGTTGACAAATCGCCATTGTATTACAAGACTAAAATGAGAAAAAATTTCATTCTTTTCATATAAATCAAGAAAAGACTAAGATATATTTAGTCCAGTTCCTAAACAGAAAGACTATCTGAGTCCAAGGCAAAATCCAAATACAAGCAGGTAATACTAAATTGTGTTATTTATAAGAAAAAGAACTGAGATTCTGGTTATAGTGGAAGAAAAAGGTGGTTATGGAAAATCTTAAAAGAAAGTACAAAATTATTTCTAGGAAAATATTTTGTCATAAAATACTTACTAAATATATTCCTTTTTATTCTTGTTGGTGACAACGATTTCTGATCCACCATTTTTCAACTCATGTTGATGTGTCTAAAATTAAACACAATACCTTGATATATTATTTTAGTGAGAAAAAAATGAAAAAGTATATATATATATGAGTTACAACAGAAGCATGATGTTTTAAATTAAATCCATTCAAAAGCTAAAAGTTAAAAAAACCCAAATATTAGTTTTACTAAAATAAATATGTAATGAGCCAA